ACTGCTCATTTGTTTCTCTTATTAATCGCACCTTTATAGCTGTTTCAAGGCAGTATTGTTGTACAATTGGAAAGCCACTTGCTTGCTCCTGTGCTCTAGCTGAATACTTTTTGAAGGGGACTCTGACATAGCGGGTGTGCTAATGTGAATGTTCAGGAGAAGCGCAGTTCGTTCTCATCATTCTACGACGACGAGGCGGGTTTGCGTGCTGAAACGGAGCGTGAGCTGCCGGAACGTCGTCCACCCTGCGAGGAGGACTTCGAAACTATCCGTGTAAGTCATTTGCGTACGTAAAAAATTACGTCCATGCTTTTGAATGCATAGAAGGCTCACTGAGGAGCGGTAAAATGAAAGCGAGATAATGCTGTATAACGCAGTTTAAATGCGAGGAATGTGTTTTTTAGTCTTTTAGGTAATGAAGTACGGTTCTACATGGACTATGAACGGCTTGGGGCAATCAAACATTCTAAAAATGAATTCTTCATAATATTTTAAATTATTTTTATATGTTTTTTTTGTATCTGTGCAATGCAAAAACGCATATTGTCGTGAGGTTTAGCTTTAATTTCGCTTCATAGATCTTATCTGTACAGGTACTAAATGCATTTCATTCGTGTTTAATGCGCGATTTTTGTTTGCCACTGCTTGATAGTTCTTCGATGACCTTGACCTTTCTGAGAGTACAAACCATCAGCAATCCATCCGTAAGGATCAAAGTTGTTTTTCTGAGAAGATACGTGTCAAAAATTGTGGTTAACTGGCGTAGAATTTAACAAAGGCTGCAAATATTTTTGTCACTGAAATCCACAGTTTCACATTGTGATTGCGTTTACCTGACATTACCAGTTCAGTTGGTTATGGTCATAATTTGTGCTAAGATGAATAAAGAATGAAGCTGAATATCATCATATTTAAGCAGAATGGTGCTGTTTTGGCCAAAAGGCGTTTTTTATGCATTTTTCGCAGCTATGCATTGCAGAAAACGCATAGTGACGAGGAGTTGTCTCTGTGTGTGTGTGTGTGTCTGTCACAGTTTTTCATCTCTAGACCTACAAAAGCTACAGGACTGAAACTTTGGGAACTTAATCTACATGGACGTACGAGCTCCAGTCCCCAAAATGGGCGTTCTTACCCGCGTGGTACCCACGTACGAGCCCCTAGAAGTTTTTTGCGGGTAAGTCGCTAACTCGAGAATCAGAAAAGCTAGAAAGCTGAAATTTTAAGCGGATGTTCCCCGTCTACGTAAGTCTCAATGAGCTATAACCCAGCCCTCGGGTATGCGTGGTATTCAAAATTTTGGGTTCGCCAAATCTTCTAGTAAGTTGCTAATTTGATAATTCGAAAAGCTAGAAGACTATAATTTTTAAGAGGATTTTCCCCGTCCACCTAAATCTCATTGAGCTCAAACCCAGCCTCCGAGTGTGCATGGCACCCAAGTACGGGCCCGTGAAAATTTTTTTCGGGCAAGTTGATAACTCGGGAACCTGAGAAGCTAGAAGACTGGAATTTTAAGGGAATTTTCCCCATTCACGTAGTTATTAATGAACTGAAACCTAGCCCTGGGATATGAGTCATCCGCACGTATGGGCCCGTGAAAGATTTTTTCGTGTAAGTTGCTAACTTGGGAACCTGAGAAGCAAGAAGACTCGAATTTTGAAGGGAAGTTTCCTGACAGTCCTGGCGGCCAGTCTGAAATTTCTTTGAGCTAGAAGCTCTGCCGAAAAAAACAGTGCCGTAATCGACAAAAATCTGCGGAGAACTATGCGAAAAACGCATCTTCGCATGGACAGCCCGTGCGTTTGGCCAATTATTTTATCAAGGCTGGCTAAAGGACGCATTTTTTATTGCTTGATATCGTTGTAGAGCTTAATGAGCCAGGCATAGGATAATCTTACAGTGCGTTTGACGTCATGTTTGGAATCCCTACACTGCGCAAGCATGAAGGGCTTGCGCGATGTAATTGTCAAGAGGAGGTAAGATTGCTGCAAAACGGATTGTATATGGGCTAGAGAATACGAAAAAGGAAATAATGATATTTTTGATATTCTCAGCTTATCAGCAACGGGGCATACGGTGCCGTTTATTTGGTGCGACACAAA